CCCCCCCCCCCTTCAGTTTTCACTTCACAAACCATGTTGGTAAGTAAACCAAGTGTTTGCCTCTAACTTTTTTTTCACAGCACATTATTAACAGACCAATGCTAGGTTAAGTCAGGGGTGCAGTAAGCACCAAAATAAGATTTTTCACTTTGACAGCCTCTCTGTAATACCTCAGTGTTTAAAAGCACATCCATTTAACTTAATTCTGGCTCCACATGCTTTTAAACTTTAAGGCTATTTCTATTTGATACCACCATAATCTAACTCATAATTTAAAACCCAACAGCCAGGAAAAAGCAGCAGTACAAACTAGACTGAAAACTGAAGATAACCTGTCTCTTCCCTTTCTCTGGAGAACAAAATCTGGATACATTGTACAGAATTTATGGCATGAGAAAAATCCAAATTCTGTACTTTATGGAACAAATACATAAACCAAAAAACTTCTACATTTAAATTGATATGTAGTAGAAAAACTTTAGCCTTTCTATTCTGATTTTTACACAGACTCTTTCTGTTGAAGTTTAGTGTCAGAATTAATTAGGACTGAAGCCATACTGCTGCCTGTTTATTACAGTGGTTCCCTGTAGCGTAATTGAAGTGTTTTCCATTTAGCTTTACAATTCACAGAACGCTTATCTTTGAAAGGGAATAGAAGTCAAACTAAGCAACAGAGCTTCATTCTGAAGGTTGCATAGAGACTGAAGAGATTTATACAACAAATGCTGTTTAAAAAAAATTAAATCTGTCTGGCACTACAAAACAGCTCAAATGTGTGTGACCAAAAAATAACCAAAATATTTATAGGCAATCAACTCTGAGTTTGTTAGCAACAGCAATACTGTACATTTTTACATTATTATCAAATACATAATTCAAGAGTTACAAAATAAGATCATGCATTACCACTAAATCTCATACAAGCTTGGATTGGTTTCATTCCAAGAATCTGAAATGGAGACAAGCATTTTTTTGTGAAGAACTCAAACTCTGGATTCTTGTTTTAGCTTTCACAGATTCTATGTAATCTTGTTACAAGAAAGCCTGTACAAGTTCGCTCAATTTAAAGTGTTAAAATGTCTACTGAACAAAAAGTGAGCATCAACCTGATCAAAAAAGGGAGCTAAGCTCTTTTAAAGGCAGATTTAGAGCCAGAGGTACCCTTACACATGGTGGGTATGATTTTATAAAAAAAAAATCAGACATTCTTCAACATGCTCAACTCCACTTTCTTCTGTTTCACCTGGCAAAGCAGTGCTTTTGATAGACCATTCAGTTTGATGAAGTAAGCTGAGCAAATGGCATCCCAATATAGATTAGAATCAGTGTAAAGTATGAATACGCTTGTGTGCACTACTGAAATATATTAAAACTCCTTCCCTGACGCCCCCCCCTCATGACTGCAAGGGTGGATAAGCTGTTGGCAATACTTCCACCTCTAGGTACACCTGAACAGAGTTGATTGTTCTTTCTAGTTCAGAAGTGACCTGGAATAGGAAATACAGGGATGGAAAACAGCATCCTACTCAACACTTTAGAAGTCTTCAGTTTGGTGGCTCATGCCTCTTGTCAGTAGTATTTATGCCTCTTCAAAGAGAGCAGCATTAAAAGATCAGTTCATCTGTCTCCCTAATTTCACTACATTTACATATGGCACAAGATTGATTTTCTAATGAGTAACTTGTGGCAACAACATTTTTTCCTAAAAAAGTGTAACAGCACAAAAAAATTCATAGCAGCATTTTACACAATTTGTGTTAAAAAAGTAGAAGTTAACCATTCATGTATTGAGTAACAAAAGGTTTAAATTACATTTCTTTTCCATTTTACACTCACTATTTACTAGTTGGACTATTTACAAGGGTTCAAATGTTGTGTAAGAGAATGAGCTTTACCCAGAATAAATTTCACATGTGAGGTAATGGTCTACCTCAACTTCTGTTTTGGCTGGCTAGAGAGGAGGTACAGTTGGGTTTAGATCCTAGGGAAAAAAAAAATCAGAATTAGGATGTTTATATGAATTAGATTGTGTTCCCGTAGAAGAAACCATACACACACATGTACATAGAGGGTAATCCTATGGTAAAAACATTAACTAAATCCACTGTTGGTCTTATTTTCCAGCTGAAAAAAAGAGGATTGAATAATTAAGAACAGGGAAGTTGTCAGCTGTACCTCATTTATTCCAACTAAGTTTTTATCAAGAGGACAGCTTTTAACTCAAGAAGCTAAAGCAATCTATGTTAAATCAGTGAAAGGGAAATATTTAAGAATTAACTTAAAATTGAGGTTCTCAGCACACCTTTTGAATAAGACAAAGGAGTATCATTTTTTCACTAGTGTAAGTATCAACCCACCTGTCTCCAAGCCCAGGAGGTACCACTACTACCTCCTGCTGGGCAAGACACTTCAACAGATGCTTGCTAACAGACCTCTGTAACATAAGGGTGCCCGCCCCCCTTGGGTAAGTCTTATTTTCCTCTAAACATTTTAAAATTACAACTGACTGCAGGAACACTACCCAAGATGCTTCTCATTGAAGATTAGAAGGCTTTGGAACTTGCAGTGTAATTACACCATGAACAAAACATGTATCAAAATGCTAAAAGGAAAAAATGGGGGAAGAGGGATCTACAATGCTTTTCATGTAAGTCCTCTGACAGTTCATCAGCTGACCAAATGAAGAAACAGAAATACAGTGGATAGTTTTGGTAGTTGCAAGACAGAGTTATTGTTCTTGCTCTTGTTATACATTACATGAAGATTGCATACGACAAGGTAACCTTTTGGGTAACCGAGGCAAGCAGTGCTTAGTGTTGGTATCCTTTGCTCTTGACAGGTTGAATGTGGTTTAGTGCTTTACTGCAGTCACACTTAAGCATCTCTGCCTTCAACACACCCATTTACCCAAATACCACCATCTTAAGATGTTAGCAGTTCATCTGTGGATACCTAGTAAGAGTTTAGTATAAGACTGTTGGCTCAAACTTTTTTCTAAGCAAGTACTCTTGCAGAACTACTGACTAAAACTGACAATAATGTCTTAAATAAGCTGAACACCACTGAGATGCATATTTTATTTTAGCAGATTGGAAATCTATATACTCAAGTAATTTTTTTTTTAAATGGCCTATTAAGGCATTTAAAAAAATCCATATATGGCTTTGGTTTGCTGAAATACTATTTTACATTGTTAAAAAGGAAAAATATGTTCAAATAAAATTGACATTATGACACATTCACATATTTCACTTAGAACTGACAGTTATACAGATTCCTACATGTGATCACAGATGTCTCCCCTTGTGATGACATGAATAAAAAGGTAATCCAAATGTTTATCTCACAGTAGAGGGCAACCCAGAAGTCTGTGCAGAAGTGACATATAAGGAGTTATTATCTGGAAGAGGGGGAACCACAGAGTTTCCATTTGTGGGTGAACAGCTCAGTTTCAGTTTTTCCAAGTATTCTGCATGAACAGGCTTGTGACACTGAAGGACCTTGATTGCATCTTCTACTTTAAACCATTCTCTTTTCCTTCCTGAATGAGTAGAATCCACAAAGAAAAACAGAGTTACAAATTTCTAGCAGCACCATTTTCGCTATCTGATCATTCATGTTTTCTCATTTCTTTTACTTTAGAAATTCAAATTGTCAGGCAAAAGATACAGAGTGAAAAGACCTTGAAAGAACTGATGAACTCAAGAGATTACCTCAAGCTTACTGAAATGCAGTTCATAAAGTGTTTCAGAAACTCTTCTTGAAGCAAATACTGGGCAGAAGCTTGCATGACTGTTCATACACTCCAAAACACATAACTAGTCCTTACAGGAAAAGATATTATTGTTTAAGTTACTTAATACTGCCTTCTAACACCGTCATGTCTAGCAGAAAATCAATCTGAAGAATGAACATGCATGCACAAAGTTACAGAAGAGTAACGGCTTAGTCTGATTTAGAAAGCAGCATTCTGTACTCAAAACATATCCATGTGTGGAGTTACTAAGGTTAGGCATGTTTTAAAAATAATACCCCTTATGTCAGAGATATGTTTAGAGAAGTTTTAAGAGTTATCTTAGTAAGACAGTCCTAAGACCATCTTTCTTATACAAGTCAGTCCTTTAAAATACTTACAGACAAGGTCAGGGATAGTATTGTTAAAAATAGGATTCATTCTGTTTTTCATTTGGTTTTACAGTGTTACAGGTACTATGCTTGAACATTATTAAGACTTGTATAAACTGCTTGTTAAAGACCAAGGTATGTGGCCTCACCAGGGCTGCTCATCTACTGCCAGCAGCGCTCTCCAGAAGGAAGCTGGCAGCAGCCCCAGTGCTGGATGCTCCTCTCTATCCCACAGCTTGGCACTAAGCAGGAACAGGCCATTACTGTCCTCACAGGCCCTGTCCAGTTCCAGGTACAAAAATCCCCCTTGAAACAATCCCACAGCTGCCAATACTGATCCTCCCATGTAATGGGACCACTGACCAGTGTTGCTACAGAGGGAACCTGACATACAATTAAGAGGGTGCACTCCCCACAGATCAGTAATACTGGAAACAAAGCGTTCTCTGCACCTGAAAAATAGCAGTTTTGAAACTACCTTTACAATTACATGCCATTTGCTCACAGATCCATAGTGCTAAATTTATGAATGTTTAACACCACCTCCTGAAAAGGGCAAAACATAACCAATCAAGGTAGGATGTAATTTTTTACACCAATTCTTAGTTAACAATTTCAGCTGGACAAATACACTGCAAAATCAGGTAATGTTTACTTAATTTCAAAATGGAAGATCCATACAATATCACAAAGCATGTTAATCTAACTGAACTGAATGACAGTGGTATCTGTATGACATAGATGTATATACAGGAATAGATACCTCTTAAGGTCAGCACTATCACTACTGAAAAATTAGCCTAAGGTGAAAGTAAATACTAGTGATCTTTTTCCCCCCCAGAAGAATCAGAAGAAAAAGAACCTCATCAAAACTTTCCAAAGGTTTGTTGTGTGGCTTTTTTTGCTTGGGTTCTTTTTTGGGTTTTTCCCCCCCCAAAGACACTTTCAAAAATACCCTAGAGTATAAAACAACAAAACATTCTCCTTTAAGGAAAAAACAATTCTTCAGTATAATATTTGGTCTTTAAAAAAATTAAGAGCTGTATCAGCAACTAATAATGAAGTTTATTCCACTGTAATACTTAGACTACCCTAATTATGTAAGAGGGCCGCAATATGTCAGAAGCAACCCTAATTATGTGTACAAAAGCGTGGAAGAACAGCATCACAATTTCCAGTAATCTCAGTTTATAAAACAGAATTAGTATTCCCCTCAGAATTAGATTAATTGCTTCAGAAAATGAAAGAAGTTTGCTTAATACATTTTAAGTGCAGCACATGAGGAGAGAGAATGGGTTTACCTATATTAACTGAATCCTCCCAGTCTTCCAGTATTTCCGTCACAGTAAGAACATAAACATATGTCCTATGCTTCCGATCCTGGTTCTGCTTGAATATTAGAAGTGGACACTTTAATTCACAGCAAAAAATAATTTAGACTTACCACAACTGTAAGATTAGAAATTGCTTACCTCTGAAGGATACTTGCCAGGTGGAATGGAAACAAGTATGAAAATTAAGCATGCAAAACCCGAAGTTTTAATTTCAAACAGCAGCTATTCCACTTTACTAGCTACAAAAAAAACCCCAACAGAACAACCCACAACCTAAACAAATTTGAAGACTGCGAAGATGGGACCAAACGTTCTTGGTTATCCAGTTTAATATTAGCAGCTGTCCACTAGAACTGCCCATTACTTCTCTTTTATGGATGTTGGAAGTTACCACAGTAGAGTACGTTTGCTAAAACTGTTTCCACAACTCATGTTCCTAGATGAAAGGTTATTAAAAACATCTTTGCAAGATGGAACCACTGCATAATGTGGCCAGATCATCTTTGCAATGCTAAAGTTTCACTAAGTAAGTGAAGCAAATTAAATAGCCTGTATTTGCAATCATGACAAATGCAAAAATCATTACCATCTGCTCACTCGACAAGTTTGCCATGTTTGCAGCACTAACCACCTATTTAGAAAGAACATGCTTTTTGAACATGGCAAGTCAAGTATGGAGACTGACAGAGGTAGTCTGCTCAGGGCAGGGTCACTGTGCCACAGCCAGTCCACACAAGGTCTGTGTAGACATTACTCCCTGCTAGCTCCAAAGCAGGCTAAGTGGCAGGTGCACTGTTAAAGGTGCCACCTGACTAACCAAACCATACTGCGCCTTGGAAAAGAACTGAGCTCCTAGAAAACCCAGGCCTATATACAATTACAACTATATTAAGAACCAAAAGATGTTATGCTCTAGCTCCCCTTACAGATGGTTTCACCCTTGTGTCAATAACCATTCCTACTTAACGCTCTCGCTACAAGGTTAATAGCTTTAAACTGTTGGATTATTTTTGTTTCCTGAAGCACAAGACAGTTATTTGTCAATATCACTATTAAATGGAGTAAATACATCTATAACATGTATCCTTTCCGGCTGTAGTTCTAGAATACTAGGATTCTGGACAGGCTGGAGCCATGGGCTGAGGCCAACTGTGTGAGTTTCAATAAGGGCAAATGCCGGGGGCTGCCCTTGGGCCACAACAACCCCCAGCAGCGCTACAGGCTTGGGGAGGAGTGGCTGGAGAGCTGCCAGTCAGAGAGGGACCTGGGGTGTTGATTGACAGCCAGCTGAACAGGAGCCAGCAGTGTGCCCAGGTGGCCAAGAAGGCCAATGGCATCCTGGCTTGTGTCAGCAATAGCATGGCCAGCAGGGACAGGGAAGGGATCTTACCCCTGTACTCGGCACTGGTGAGGCCGCACCTCGATTCCTGTGTTCAGTTTTGGGCCCCTCACTACAAAAAGGACATCCAATGACTCAAGTGTGTCCAGAGAAGGGCAACGAAGCTGGTGCAGGGTCTGGAGCACAGGTCGTACGGGGAGCGGCTGAGGGAACTGGGGGTGTTTAGTCTGGAGAAGAGGAGGCTGAGGGGAGACCTCATCGCCCTCTACAGCTCCCTGAAAGGAAGCTGCAGAGAGCTGGGGATGAGCCTCTTTAACCAAGTAACAAGCGATAGCCATGAGGGAATGGCCTCAAATTGCACCAGAGAAGGTTTAGACTGGATATTAGGAAGCATTTCTTTCCAGAAGGGGTTGTTGGGTGTTTGAATGGGCTGCCCAGGGAGGTGGTAGAGTCCCCATCCCTGGAGGTGTTTAAGAGTCAGGCTGACATAGCGCTGAGGGATCTGGTATAGTTGAGTATGGTCAGTGTGAGGTTAATGGTTGGACTAGGTGATCTTCAAGGTCTTTTCCAACCTTGATGATTCTATGACTCAACAGCAATATAATTTCCATCTTCTTAGTTCCACCCCCAGGCTGAAACATGTGGAACCCTTAATGGTACTAACAACTGTATGTGAGGCTGTGTTGTGAAACTGAGTAGGGCCTTGATTTAAGTTTGAAGTAACCTAGAAAAGTGCCACTCAACACAGACTTATCTCCTCTGGTGTAATGGTGGTAGATGGCTTAAGAACATACAGCTGAATAACTAAAGAATCATCATCCATTGTAGCCCATTTTAAGGCAACAAAGTAAGTATCCTGTCTTTTTTTGGTCTGAGCTGGGAAATCCAGAATAATTCTGTATAATAACCAGAGTTAAAACACAGACAAGGTTTTAATGTGTAGGTTCATCCAGGTGTACTCATAGCCCCCCCCCAAAAGTCAAGGGCAAGTGCTACTAACTGCAAACAGCAATTTATCTCTAATTTTGTCATGGTTTCCCTACTTAGCAAGTGGAACACCTTTACCACTGTATCAATTAGTCATATGTAACTAAGTAATATTTCACATAGGAAATACCTATCAAACACACTGCCTCTGAAAGTTGTTTTTATAATTAAACTGTGAAGATTCACAACTATTAGATTAAGGGACTTCCACTCTCACCTATCATACAGTACAACATAACAATGCCAGCTGTGGTATGATCTGAAGACTCACACCTACATTTCTACAGTCTACTCCTGTCTAGAACCTGAGCAGAAGTGGGCAATGTCAACACAAAAAGTTTTATCTATCATGCATCCTTGTGCTGTCAGTCGTTCAGAGTCTGATGTTTACACTACAAAATACAAGTTCTGAACTACATAGTATTGCTAAAGGTTAGATTTATCTGTTATCTAAAGCCTTAGCCTTTTTAGTGAATTAAAAGCCATGAGATACTTCATATGCAAACTTATCAATTTAGGTGTGTGAAAGTTGAGAAGTTACCTCAGCAAAATCTAATCTGAGAGGAAAGTCAAAGTAGTGTCTGAAAAAAGGCATGTATGATATTTCAGAAATCCTAGATCAACATCGGAGTTTTATTTGGTTTTTGTTTTGTTTATTTGGTGGGGGGGTTTTGTTTGTATTTTTTAGTTGTTATTTTTGTTTGGGTGGGTTTTTTTGTGGTTTTGTTTTGTTGTTTGGTTTTGTTTTGTTTTTACTTATAGATGTTATTCAAGTGCTAATTTAGTCTTTCCAGGAAAGTTCCAAGTACTTTGAAATCTTCCTATTCAAATCTTCATCTATCATGTAACTACAGGAAATCACCTGTCCTATGCAGCATTTCCAGTAGCACTGCAAAATTATAGACAGATAATACTTAAAAGTTCTTGTTGCAGTTTAACAAATCTCACAAAAAACCCACAAAACACAACATTGTTTTTAAAAGGTAAAAGAAATAGCTCACCTCAAATATCCCAAGCAGTCTGCCTAGCTTTCCCTTTACTCCAGCCTACAAAACAAACATAAAAAAAGCATTAACATACACTTTTGAAGTTCAAATACTAAAATATCAGTACCAGCCTCCTATATCAGCATACTCCTCCTTATTAGGGTTATCTAAGTGTTTTAACATAAATTAGACAGTGCTGCACTGCATCTAGTTTCTAGTTTTATAGTACTTAAAGAGTATCAGAGCACTAAAGCTTGTCCTAATCAGTGGATCAAAGAACACATAAATGTTTCAAGTTTTCTATCCAGATCAAAATACTGGTTTACTTACCATGTTCTTTGTGTACTGTATTTTATAGAGCTAAATGGCATCCAGTCTTGAAATAATCCAGGGAAGTAGACAGAAAAGATTAAAGTAGTATAATAAGTCTAGAGAAGGAATCACTAAAACTTCCATTGCTGTTTTACACAGAAACTCAAGTCCAAGTCTTCAAAATACAGTAACAAACTGTCGGTTACTGGGTGGATCTTGCAGCATAATGACTTCATGCATGCTAGTTCTCATTGAAGTGTGGCTTTTAGCATGTAAACTTGAAACCAAATTTATACCCCCAATTCTTCACAGTTTTGAGTTATTTTTCTAGTTAGCAATATTACAATAGGCTTTAAATTCAGATACTCCAACTTTTTAAAACAATCCCTACATGTATCAGCCTGTACTTAGTATTTTTTAATCAATACTGTTAAGGTGGTTATTATATTCTACTAAGACTTAAGGTTTGTTTTTCCAAAAGTAGTATTCAGTGCCTCTGCCAACAGAAGTAGTTTATGATTATCCATTCATTCTAAAGAAATCTCAGTCCATACACCTGAGACATAAAAGCATATGTAGTCTAGATAAAGACATATATAGATTTTTTTTTTTGTGTGTTGCTGTATACCTGCTACTTAAAATAGGGCTTCTTAGCATAAAGATGACATTTTCTAGCCTTCAGTCCTTGTTTCCAGCTTTAACCAGAAGAAAGTTACTAATGTTTTATATTCTTTATATAAAGGACCATATGGATCTTAAGATTTTAATGAGTAACTCTGACAGACAACTGGGCAGGCTTTAGCAGTAAGTCTAATGAAGATCTTACAAGTGAATGTTTTCTGTGTCTTTCTTTTTAAAGCAAGCAGATGGCTGGTGTTATTTATTAAGCAGTTTTGATCAAGAAGTCTGATTGCAGCCCAGGCAACTCAGCAAGCATTTTGCTTATCTAAAGCAAAAAGTAGACCTAAAGTTAATGCAAAACTACATACAGTATTCTTCTGGTTATCTGCTGTGATGACAGAGATACCTGTTAAGAGTTCATGAAGCTGAAATACATGACTAAACCTGCTGGACAAGTGATTAAGCAGCACATTAATTATGAAAGTAACAGACCCCTTATTTTAGTCTGAAAGGGTCAGCTATGCCACAACAGTAACTAAAATCTGCTTGTGCTTTATGCTGGGTAATGAAAAAGCATTTAGTAGCCTAAAGGAACACACAATGAAGAAATGTTTTACTTATCAATCCTAAGTCTCTCAACATTACAGTATTTTTTTTTAAAAAAGAACCTAAAAGGCTACACACTTACGCTTCTGTCCCCAATTTTTGCCTTTCTTCACATGCAGTACTATCTAGGAGTCACTATATCCTTTAAGATTCCTACTCTGTGGCAAACTGAATAATTAAACAATTTCCCATCATCCTGTTCCACCAAAAGTAACAACATGATTAGTCTTTTTTAATACTTCAGGTGTCCAAGTATGCAGTTTTAGCTACACAAGTTTCACAATTTCTTCCCTAAAGTTGCAGCAAAGAACAAGACTGTTTAAAATCCTTAAAGCTATGGCTTAACAGTATGACAGAGAGCCCAGTACAGACACTGCAGGTTTCTCAAACATTAAAAAAAATTTCTGGGTACCAAGGAACTGATCTAAAGGGAACTATGCTCTACCAGAAGGAAGAAAATAATTACCTCCCCCCCCCCATCAAGATTTTCTAACCCTTTAATAAAAAGTCCTAGTCAAGGCCTCATTTACATTACCAAGATTTCTTAAAGGCAAGTCTATGGCAACAGTACTGTTGAAGGACAAAGAAACCCATCATCAATAGATGCAGGAGGGCTTCTCTAAACCGCTAAGTGGGAGACTGATATTGAAGTGATATCCAACACAGCACAAACACCATGACCAGGTAAGTTTACCAATACTGAATAGCTTTTATTGAGAAGTTTTTTCACTTATTAGTACCCATAGTCACAATTTGACTATTATCAGTGTTACTCTAAGCAGAATTTATTTAATAGCTTCTCTATTCTCCCTCCAAGCAAATCAGTGGTTCAAAACAATGCTTTTAGCTGAGTAATGCTGAATGACATAATAGAAGCACTCCATAACGTTAAGTGTAAAAATTCCCCAAAGCTTGTAATGAAGCATTTTAGCAACCAGATGTTGCTATGTAGATGTGATTACTATCACTGATGTCTAGTTACTCTCTAGACAAAAATACGTGCCTCCAAAGCACAGCATCAGTCCTGCAGACAGTAGTGTCGTTTGAAAACTTCTATACCCAAAAGTATAAAAGGGTGGTAATCAGTCTCATGATTTTTCTCTGAAAGTAATATACTCAACTGAATCATCTTTGTAGTTTCAAAAATACGGTTAACTTTACTGTGATTTTTTTAAAGTGGTTTTGCTAATATTTCCTCCCAGTTCTTAATGTAGTTCCTTCAAAATGTGTCAAAATTAAGTGCTAAAGGACCAGGAAATGCTTCAGCTTTTTCCGCAGAAATTCAAATAAAGTTCACACTTCCCCACTGTAAGCTTCTAATCAAATACACTGATTAAGTTCTAGACTTTGAACCCTTTTATCTCCAATAAAAACATCTTTCTTCCTTTGGCCTTTATGTACCCATGACTTAAAATATGGTTCTTTAAGTAAACAGAATCCTATAGATTACCATAAGCATGTAAACCAGTTTAAACTTCGGGAGAAAAGCCTGAAAAAAAACAGCATTTCTTTTGACAGACAAGCTGTTGAATTAAGTACTATACCCCTCTAGAATGATTCCCTAAGGAAGTCTACAAGTTCTATGTAGATAAGGTATCAAATCTGAATTTATACATATACTTTAGTATTAGTTTAAATCCAACCACAAGATGGAAAGCTGTACACTTCATCCCATAATCTTTCTGGCCTAGAGGTCATTCACTGTTGGCAGCTCTAGATGCACTGCTGTCTCAGATGTGCAATCAAAACTTGCCTTTTGTTTCCTGTAGGTGGAGCAAAAGTCCCACTGCAGTTTAATTTCTAGGCTAAGTCTACTAGGGCAGAAAGTTGCTTAAAATCTGAAAGATTAAAGAGTTATTTTTAACTGTGGGATCTGTTCAATGGTAATGGCTAAGCTCCTAAAGGCACAGTGCAAGACTATCCCTTCCCTTTCTCACGTACTCTTATAAAACCCAAAGCATTTCACCATACCTGCCACAATCTCTCAGCTGAAAGGGTGGGGAATTTTTTATTTTTTTTTTAAGTATCTACCCAGTCCTAGTCTGTAACATCCAGTAATTTTGCAAATATTAGACTTTCACTGAAGTGGATTCCTCCATTTCGTGAGAGAGGTCTTAAGATAACATTACAAGATGATCCATTCTTCATCACCAAAGAAAAAGCCAAGCATGACTACAGTTCAGCCAGCTCTAGTTTGAAATTACTATTCCTCATCTTGGACTGTGCCTTAGGTCAGATCAGCAATTAAAACTACCGGTGTTCACTGAGCCAGTAGTCCTCTGGCGCTTTTTAATCCCACCCATCAACTCATGACAGTGGGAAGAGCCAGGACTTTCCCCAAGGTGCTACTGCTGTGTAGAAGCCTAAATCTTTGCTGACTCATTCCTAGAATCCTACATCTTTGCTCCTTTCAAATGGACTGCCTTGTGGCTGTCTCAGTATGTCATACTGAGTATTACCTGAGTATGTTTTGTGCAGCTCCAAATTGGCTCCCCCAGTAAAACTGGACACAGAAAGTCTGGAATAACTTTATATCAGTGAGGCTTATTTATGCTTGAACCTTGCCGCCTGGAGGCTGCCAAGAGCACTGAATACTGAACTACTCTGCTTCCCATGTAAGAGGGGAGGAGGCTCACTGAATCACCGTTCACAGGCCTTATTTTGACACTGAGTAACAGGCAGCATTTGGGGCAAGTTGCATCTACATCCCAAGCCTCTATGACTTAGCAGAACCAGTCTTAAGGATAAGCAAGCTAAACCACTAGATAGAACAACTAATAAAACCACTATACACACTAATTAACAATATTAGCATACTTTGTGAATTTTGTAGTTAAATCGGGACAAGAAAACTGCTTAAGATTAGCAGAAATCTGTAGTTCACTCACTTGCCAGGATGCATCCACTTTCTGCAAAACCTTATATCTTCTATTTAAGAAAAATGATATAAAGAATTAAGAGTTGATCTGTGGTCACTTATGCGTTGCACAACTGCATAAAAGGCTGATTTTTTTTCTTGAAGTTTTATTTGGCTTACAGTCCTGGCTGTTAAGATATTCAAGTAACATGTAACATTTTGAACAGTTTGCCTAGGAAAAATAAACAACAAGTTTAAAATCAGAGTTTTAAATTTGAAATTTAAGTCCCATGCAGGAGTAGGAAACTGCATTAATTCATCAATACTTCAAGCTCTGTTTTGCCTAGTGGTAGGGGCAGAAATAGAAAGGTGGATGGACTATACCTATGGTACTTACTTTATAGATAAACAGACTTAAAAGTATTCAATAAAGCCTTTTTATTGTTGAATTCTCAACTGCTCAGATACATCAGTTTCTAATACGTTTAGTTTGGAATCTCCTCAAAGGTCTGTTTGTCTTTCTTATGTGGCTACACATTAATGGTTAGTTCATCTTCAGTTTGTTCTAGAAGAGCTGCAAGTAAAACATTATCTGCACAAACACAGAAATGCTACACTACTATAATGTCATTTGGCATAAAGTCACAGTTGCACTTACTGGAAGTGTTTATAAAGGCAGACAGAAATTTAGCTATGAAATGAAAGCATGCTGGGAAGCAAGCTCATTAGTTCACCACACTATACTCCAATTCTAACACACAGAACTGCAGTTCTTTTGAATTCCACAACCATGGAAGTCAAATCCTGGGTAAAGGAAATAGAGTTCCCTGTTGTCTTGATTCTCATCTGAAGATAGCAGCAGAGGAAAGCTGGATTTTTTGTTTTGTTACCTCTTCATACACCTCTCTGACAGCTGCTCCCCCTGGCTCTTCTTCTGGTTCCATTCCTCCACCTGGTACAATCCACTGATCTGGGTATCGGCTACTGCTTACCAACAGCACCTATAAATAAATGCAAATGACTGTTAAACATAGCTCAAGTTGGGAATTTTGACACTATCTACTTTTTCAGCAATGCAATTCACCTAGCCAAATGGATTATAGGCTTTAGAATGATACATAATAGGCAACCAGGAGTTGTAAGAAGTAAAAAAAAAAAGGGAAATTATTAACATCCAGTCTTTTTAATACAACTAATTCAAGATGTCACAGTAACCTCCTTACATACTTTCATCAGATGCTTAGACACAATGTGAAAAATACACAATATGCACAGGAATGAAGATGTACAACAAAAATATAATGATATTCGCCAAGACTGCGTAAGCTTAGGGTCATATAAGATGGTAAAGCATGAAAATTAAAGACATTTTCATCACACAGAAGTCAAACTAATTCTTCTGGAATAGCATCTTTTGACTAAAAAGTGGACTTCTGAAAATTTTGCTCATTTTTGGACAAGTTTCTTTTCGGTTACTAAGTGTTATGTTTGCATGGCACTAAATCACAAGAAATACTTCATTGGCCCTTGTCCAATTTGGTTTCTTTTAACATGTCTAAGAGGAAAAACTGCAACATGTTGAATTTTAAATAATTTTTTTCAAGACACTTTAATTTCACTGACCCTGTTACCTAGTCATATCATTGGTAGATACCAATTTAAACCTCACTGTCTATAGGACCTGCCCTTCACAATATTCATATCTGGTAAGATTTTAGCCACCTGTCTAACAAACTAGGATGCCTCTTATTTGGAATAATTTGCAGTAGAAGTTAATGAAAATAAGACCTTGGTTGAGGACCACATGGAAAAAAACAGTTTAACTTGTATTTGAGACGTGTCTTAAGAAGTGAGACAATCATCTGTGTAGTAACACACTTCATAATCTAAGCAATACTTACATAAGCCCTACCCTGAAGTCAAAGGACAACTGTAGGGAGCAAAGGGACAGGGTCTGTGCTCAAATCTTTAAAAGCAATTAAAAGACTTGCAACAATAACCTCAGTCTAAAGGTTGAAGTATTGACTAGTGCCAGATGTCTGAAGTGACAGTCCTCACCAACTGTCTTTATGGTCATTAAACTCATCTCCTGTTGGATTTAAGCAGGAAAACAATTCCCTGATAAGGGCAACAGGGAAATTATTATCACTTATACTATGTCCCTTTGGCACTCATGGAAATACAGTATAGATACACCTACAGGAACTGGGGAGTGTAATTAAAGTGACTGCACACCTCTGAATGCAACAATGCATTCAAGGTGCCATGAGGTACACCTAGAAGAGCCTTAAGTGATAGATATTTCCTTGTTGTTTGCTTGTTTCATTTGCAGTCAAGATTTGTCCTACTCTGAAGGATTCTCCACTGTACTAATTTTCCCCCCAATTTTTCCTACGCTAAATTAGGAACACAGAGACCTCATTTAGTACAGAATCATTCTTAGCATCCAATTTAAATGTTCACATTTTCAGTCAACTCATATTTTATTCAGCTATCTAAAAACCTAGAAGTAGTCAGCAATGGCAGAAAGGTTAGACACAAGTGCATCTCAATTTGATCTTTACAACCAAAGGTTTTCGTTTTCTAGGATCCTTTGATGTTGACAAAAGATTCCCAGAGGGTGCACAGCTCTACTAAATGTAGAAATTTTTATCATGTAGGTGGAGCATCTATATCACTAGAAAGAACCATGTCAGCAATGCTTAAAGAGCAGTTGTAAAAATCAAGTTAAGAATTCACTTGTGGGATCCCAGACATAAGCATTACACATCATTTTCTGCTGATGAAACTAGCACTCACTGCAGTCACATGGAAGCTAGCAACAAAAGGATGATTATATCACATTCTGTCATTCCCAGCTTGGTAGAATGGTTTTAATCAGCACTCATTGTTTAGTTAAGGCTAAACATAAAATTCTTGATTACTACTAAGGGATAAATCAGGTTGCTGGTTCTGCCAGTGTACCCTAAAGCCAGGAATTTTTTACGCCTTTATGTATAGTAACTGACTATCACTAACCTGACCTATTGAGCTGAGTTTGTGTCTCTATTAGCTTTAAATTACCCTTTTAAAAGTCAGAAACAAACACATTTAGCAAGGAATCAACATAAAAATACAACAACTCTGGTGGATAGACTTTATAGCTATACATACATAAACTGCCAAGTGTTAGAGACCAGGAGTTCATTTTGGCAACTATCCAAGTCTCCACTAACCCTGGAACTGAAGCATTTTCTCAAGCATCTTTCTCTCTATATTCTCCTGTGACTCCACTGCTTTTACAATCTGAATCCAAGGGACCACACTAAGGTATATTCCCGAGACCTTCAGATGCAATGTTTTTTCCAATAAGCAACAATAACATTTGAAGACACTCGGGCATGAGGCTTTGCTAGCAAAGATGTACTTGGTGGTAATCAATTTTTACAAAAACCAAGAGCCAACAGCTAGCAATTACAAGATGGTGTGGTAAGCACTCCACACGGATTCTTTCAGTTACAGTAGCAACCAATCTTGCACTCACTTGCACATAATTGTTTTCCATGTGCTAGTTTTTACTTTATGTAGTGAATGTAGTTTTCAGCTGTTTCCATCTGTAAGTGGTCAGAACACACATACCATAGTACAGGAGTGACTAGGCTGTAAATATAAAGATCACTTAAAAGTGAAGAAACCAAAAAACCTGTGGTTGGTTGGCAATGAACTCATATGCCAAAAGAGGTGCAAAACCAGCAGCAAAAAGCCAGCAATTCACCTTCCCTTAAGATAAGCAAACCAGGAGAACAGAGATCTAGGTCATCTAGACATCCAGTCTTTTCTGAGGAGGTTCATGTTCATACAGATTACAGTGGTCTACTGAAAAACAAGACTGCAGAATCTCAGAGCTACATTTTTTATGGCCTATGCACACCAAGTTTTACATCAAAACCTCAGAATTACTTCCTATGCAGAGAAATCTGTATCCCATATGTTTGAATGCAGAGAAAAGAATGAGATTTATTGTGTTGTATTACTTGATAGTGATGACTGCCTTTCCCATGCCTCTGAAAAAGCCTGTTGATGACTTGTTCAAAAGATTTCCAAAGTACACAGTAATGGCATCAAATCTGCTTGCCTAGCTATACTGCTAAGTTTATCTTACTCCAAAGACTAAGGGAAAGCTATTATTTTCCATAATACTGTCAAGAGAGAAAGCTGCAAAATTCAGTTAAGAGGAGAAAAACCCTTCCACTAAGTCTTACTAGCCAAGTTTTTACCTTGTTTTCAAGTCCAAGAATAGCAATGACCTTTGAGTGCAGTGAGGAGGAGAAACTGCTAGCCAGCCTGCTTGTAATAAGCACCCATCAAAATGCTTAACAAAGATATGGTTAACCAAAAACCCAAAGGTAATTACAGAGCATGTGGAATCATGGGACTTGCTCACTATAAATGCTAAGTCTGCAGACAAACAACTGAAAATTTCTAAAGAAAGATGCCAAAGCTTTGGCTTGTTTAGTGCTCTCAAGTCAAAAGGAACTTGTGAAACAGTTAGCAGCCATATATTCCTGAAGACTAAAATGGCAACAGCTCAGACCAATACAAATTACAGCCAAAAGCTATTCCTCTTTTTTTTGTATTAAACACAAAGAGGTGGAAAATTACCTAAGGTTATACAAAATATCATTGCTATCTTCCTTAACTGTAGGACACTATAGCTTACAAAAACAATTATAATAAAAATCAGCTTACATTAAAAAAAAAAAGACAAGGGTAAGACTGAAACTTGCTAGATAGAACAAGCTCCCAGAGCTGGAATCTCTTAACTTTGGAGTCATCCACAACTTGAAGTACTGAAGTAATATCAGCAGAAGCACTATAAACCAACTGCAAGATGGTAATTCCACAGTGGATGTATCACTTGCAAGGAAAAATGATTTTCCAGGTGAAAAGGTACCACTCCAATTCCACATAAATTATTTCCTTGTCATTAGATGTCTTTGTAAGCTCTCTCCTCCCAGCTTCATTGCATCTAGTCCTGTCTTCCCCACTACACACCCTGTTTTCTCCCCTCATCACCCCCACTAATTCACTAGCTATATCCAACCTGCTGTTTGAATTACCTTATGGAGATAGTGAAGTTTGCCTTTTTTAATAGTAAAACTGGCAGTTAAAAGTAACAACTTTCAGAAGGAAGGGAATCAAGCCCTCACCTCCAGAAGACCACTGAGTGCATGTGGCTCAGTCGCCAGGAATATCACATTGCTCAAGTGTATGACTACACACTGTGCAGAGAACAAAAGGAGAGGGCAAGTGCATGGAAGACATAGGATTTAGCTCCCAAGCTCTATGAAGATGAGCACATGCGAACCGTTTCAGAAGCTTTAAACTCTTCAGAGTACAGAAAAGATCCTAGAGGCTACAAGAGGCACCTCTCAGGTATAAAACAAAGTATGAAAATGCTGTTAGGGAGATGTACTGCATGTTCTCACAGGCATCAGAAACATTAAGGGGAGGGGAAACGAACCCTATTCTGAGGAAAAAAAAAAAAAAACCACAACAAAAAACAGGACCTGCTTTGACAGAGGTTAATATAATCTAACCTAGCACACTCAATATGGAAATTTCAGCCTACGTGGTTGATCTGCCAAAGTTACAAGCACCTGAAAGAGTCATAAAGATGGTTTAATCAAAATACAGCCAAAAGTTAGTCAAGCCCTACAATGTGTTTAGAAATGGCTATAAGCAGATGCTCAGGGAGGGATACAAGCAGGAAATATTTTATTGTTCCCTAATATTTCCAACCTCCAATTGTTTTCAGCTCAGGAGCTTCTTTAAAAGTACTGGGAAACTACTCTGAATGCCACAAGACAGACATTATCGAGGAGCAAGGAAAAGCACCTCTTGGAAACCCCAGATCATATTTTCAGGATTCACTGTATGAATTTTAGGCAAAAGCATACATCTCAAATTAGAGAGCACATGTCAACCTGCTACTGTAATTAGAGATTTCCTTTATCT